GCTGAACATGTCAGCCAGATCTGTTTGTCCTGCAAGCCTTAATCGTATTATTGGTGAATGTCCTCATGCCTGATAATTTTGTAGATTACCCAGTAAAAAATATTGAAAATCAAAAAGGCTAATGGGAAACAAGCTCTGGATATTGTGTCTATCTTCTTGGCCCGGTCAATAAATACCTTTCTCATCTCATCAGGGCTTTTTGGTGCAGCTTGAACAGGATTGTTTGGCCCCTTTTGTGTCACTCCATCTTTTGCTTGCAGACATGGGCCCACTCCATATGCTGTAAAGCTAAACTGACTTTCCCTTACGTCATCATCCTGTTGGGAAATAAAAAGGGAAAAAAAAAAAAAGAAAAACAAGACTTTTTTTATTTACAGAAATCTTACCAGCTGCTAAAATAAGTATTGCACCATTACCTCAGTGACTTCTTGAATTCACAGTTTATCTTAATTGGTTGAAATTTCAGCCCTATCAGTGTTTGTCAAAAATTTTGCAGCAGCTTTAAAAAGGACAGATTTTACCTATTTGTTTATAAATTCTGTAATCTATTTAGATAAAAGAGAAAACTTAGTAAACTAGTGGTATACAGGCACACAACTTCTGATTTGGTTTAATTATCCTCATTTACAGTTCATAGTCACAGTCCTCAACTGGGCAAACTTCACACTGCGCTTTCAGACAACAGCCATTAACTCTGCATGTTGCTTAATGAAAGGAGATCCTGGCCTCTAGAGATACTCATTATACAAGCACTGATGATGTTCATGTTAATTATATTAGTGAGAACTCTGCCTATTTGGTCACTGTATATTTAGTTAATCTTATCTGTACACCTTATTTCTGCTGTTCCCTGTGAATACATCAGGTAAAGAGAACAGTATGTAAAATGTCTTAATTTAAAATAAAGTGATTGAAATCTAAAGGCAGATTTTGATTCTGATTCATTCTTCTGACAATTCAGGGGAAAACTGGCAAAGGCATTCAGAATTCAGGGAGCTATAAGAGAAAGTGATTTTTAATAACATGGCACAGATACAAAAGTAGATGGTCTGAAGATATACACATTTTCATAGCATGCTTTTCAGAAATGTGGCTTCTGTCTGGATACACATTTTGTACTTCTTTTTACCTGGACATAATTATTCTCAAGTAATAAAGGAGGTACAAATGCGGGGAAATAAATAATACATAGACTGTGAAGCCAGGGCCAAATTTGGTTCTGAATATACTCCAGTGTATTCCTTCACTATGTATGCTACTCAGGGATCGTCATGTGATCTTGATGGCATTCACAAATTTTTAATAGTGATTTTAAATTCAGGATTTCCTACTTTTTAATGTCTAATTTAACTAGTTGCTTTAGGTTTCTAGACTTTTATGAATAATAACAAAGTATTATGTACATGGTTTTGTTTAAATAAATATTTTGGAAAATAATTTCCATAAGTATTAAAGAAGAATTGAGTAGCAGTCAGTTTTCCTTCTGTAAGAGAATTTTCGGTATTTTGAATCTCTTCCTAGCTTAGATTAAAAGAAAAGGGTAAAAAAAAAATTTACTAAAGCAAGTCAAATAATTAGTGTCTCAGTTCGGTAATTCTGAAGCATTTTTGTTTTATTTAAACTTCTTACTTTATAGAAATGTAATATCTTAATGAACACAGTTTAAATCCAAACTTCTAAATTTTTAATTTTGAAGATGCCTATGACAATTGAAAAATCTGAAAATGTTTTGGAATGGAGAATTAATTCTAAACATATTTAAAGTTTTGGTTAAGTAGTACTTGCTAGAAGAATCACTGTTAATTACTTTGTTTAAAGAAATTCCAATGATATTTGTTATCAATATTAGTTGAATAAGTTATCTACAAAAGAATGCAGATCAATTACTGAAGTGAACCAGCTCACAATCAGTGTGAGAATCCAGCAGGGCTGTAGTTATCACCCAACTGCAATAATTTTTCATATATGTAATCTGAATAAATTTACAGACTAATATAGTGCACTGAAACTACCATACTTCAAAACTGCATTAGAATTCTCCTATTTAAAAAAAAAAAGAAGAAAAAGTAACATGAAAGAAAAGGAGGAGGAAAGATCACTAACTTCAATATGGAAATGAATAACAGAAATACAAAATGATAGGATCATTATTTGATGACGTGATAAAACAAAGATCTAATTACTACAATAGTGTTCCTCCCCTGTCAGAAAAGAATGGGAAATAACCTTTACAGTAGCTGTATTCCAGGAGCGTTATAGTGTTGTATTCCAGTTACAAATACATGGAGTATGAGAATTTACACTAAAGTTGCCATTTAAACACCTTCATATGTACCATTCAGGTTTTAAATTTTTTCATGCTTCTTCAGAAAATAATGCTCATGATTGCACAGACTCAAAAAGGTAATAAAATAATTCTGAGTAGCAGCTTACAGTTGTGTGTTTTCAGGATGAGGCACTATGTACTAAGAACTTACTGTCTCTGTTCTATGCTTACCTGAATTGGGTGATCCCTTAGAATGGTTTTAAAGACCAGGTCCCTGCTTATTTTTTTGCTTGCAGACACCCAGAATTTAGTCTGCAAGCAGACTTCTTGGAAATTAGCTTTGTTGTTGAGGAAGTGATGTGAAGGTCCTTCTAGGAGTCTAGCAATTCTGCCCAGTGTCTGTTGGATGGTGTCTCCATGAGGGTAGGCAGGATGATTGGAGCTTGTCAAGTCAGACCAAAGTGCTAACAACTGTGCAGGAAAGGGTACCTTCCATAGCATTGTAACATGCCAGGTGCCACCATATTTTTTCTGGAGTACCAGCTGGAATATCCAAAATGTGGTTTTACAAGTTTTCCAGCAGGTTCACAATACAAAAAAAATCATTAATTTAGCTTCAGGTTCATATCTGAAGATGCTCATAAACAGCAGGAAAGATGCAATTACTGTTATTACTGATATTAACTTTTGAGTGATTTTTCCAAGGCATTTTTGTAAAATGTCAGTGACATCCCATTTCCTTTTATCAATTGACTTGGCTACAGTTCCTCTTCTTGACAAGAAATATTTCTCATAATGCATGTGTCTGAGTCCACAGCTGTTGAAATCATCTAGTGGAAGTAACTTGTATGTCCCATTTGAGAATCTCAACAGTGAATCTTCCTGAAAAAGTCCTGCATTTTGGTTGAATTACTTAAAATGTAATAAGGAAGCTTTTTTGTTCTTTTGTGTAGTTCAGTGCATCATCACTAAAGAAAAGAAAATGAATGATTTCTTACTGAGTTTTGATAAAGATTTAAATTCTTCTTATTGTCCATTTTTAAGAAGAGTGTTCTTGAATTGTTTTGTACTACAAAGAGCTTGGTTTTAAATGCTGATCTGTTAGCAATTGATATCTCCTCATGTTACTGTTCCTTTGAAGTTGCAGAAAGTAAAATTTTAATACTATCTTTTAATCCAGATTTAAACAGATCAAAATGGATTACAAAATTAACAAGACAGATACCTTTATTAACATTTCACATCATCATATACAGGTAGCAGTGAAGGTATATGGAGTTCACATGGGAAGACATTATTTCAGACAAAAGGACAGGGCCTCTGTTAATGATTGGATATCACATTATGACAAATGGGATATCTTCTTCATAGTTTACCCTTAAATTTGTACTGTAGATTTGAGGCAAAGTCCCGTCTATGGGTCCTGTACATCTCAAGCCATTTCTATGCTGCAATGATTCACTGATTTCATTTCCATCAAGAACTCCCTCAAAATACTTTCATCAAAAACGAATGGGTTGACCAAAAAGAAAAAAAAAAAAAGAAAAAAGGTGTGATTACCATAAAGGACAATCTAGTTTGCATGTCTATTTTCCTCACTAAAGATACAGTGATCTTTAGAATTTTGAAAACAGAATTAAAAGATTGACTATTCCTGAAAACTAAATATATTAAAAGCTAATCTAAAAATCAAAGTGTGATTCAGTATATCTACACAGTTAGTTTTCCCTGTACAGTGCAAATGCAACTAAATAAAAGCACTCATAGTAGGCATGTTTCAGTATTTCTGTATGGTATCTGATTCTGCCATTTTTTTCCTTTAGTCTTTCAATGCCAAAAGGTGTGTGAGTATAAATGAATAATTAATATTCATTCATTCTGAAGGAATGTTTCCATCCCAGTAGTAATATAATATTTGTGAAATAGTTTTGTTCATTGGCTAGAATTCTTACTCTGACAGAGACAAAGCACTCGGGATCATATACTGACTACCAAATGAAGTCTTACTTTGGGAACCAAAATTCCCCTGTTCTCAGGATTCATTATGCCATCTGTGTAACCATAAAGAAATTAGACTCTTTTTGAAAAATCTGCTATACCTATTGTGATGCTTATTGGAAAACAGCAGTGAGTATGTTTTATATTATGTTGCAATAACAGTTTTTGTTTATAAATGTATTTATAACACAATCCCAGACACTTCAAAATATTTGTTAATTCTGTGCAAATTGGATTTGGCCTCTGAAAAGAAATTTACCTTTTAGTTATTTGGAATCATTGAGTGAGGTCCACATTTACAACTATAAAAACGGTAGCCAGAGGGTGCAGTTATACCTAAGAATTGCCTTTGATGTTGCTGTTAGTGTTGTCTGGGAAGGGAGCAAATAGGGGCAATGACTGTACTTGGAAAAAGTATAAGGAAAATGGCAAGGATAGATGAGTTTTGGATGCCAAAATGTCTTGGTACAACTATGTACATAATTACATTTTGTATAACTGTATATTTTTCCATAAAACTCAGCAGCTCTTACTTTCTTTGCTACGCTTGTTTACTGCAGGGGTTTTAACTGAGTTCGGTCATATGCTTTTTAAGAGAGACATTTCAGTTCTCCTGTGTTTTTAATCAGCATTGAGAAGAAATAACACATAGATTGGATTAAATTTACAAAAGACTCCATCCTGGGAAAAACTGCAAATTTGTTTGAGCATATGTTTAGAGTTAAAATTGAATTCAATGATTTGGACAAGGAGTCTGACAAACACAGGAGGAGAGTTAGTAAGTGCAAATACAAGGTAATACGTTTAGCCAGGAATAATCAACTATACAAACGTAAGATGGAAAGTGAATGGCTCTGCAATAGTTTTGGAAAAAAACCTAGGAGTTATGGAAGGTCATGGTCTTGATGTGGATCAATACCATGCTGTTTTTAAAAAGGCAAATGGCAAACCGGCTTGGATAAACAAGTGTATCACTTGCATCATGTGATCCCTCAGCTGCTGTCAACTGTTACTGGCTAGGCTTCATGTAGCAAACACAGTTTTGAGGACTTATATGGACTTACTAGGAGAATTTCCAAGGAAGGTGAATGAGAATGAGCGAAAAAAACCACAAAAAACCAACACTGTACCAACTGGAAATATTTAAAGAAAAGAAGACTGAATGGAAATGTGCAAATGGCTACATAAAGACATGAAGTAGTCTGTTCTCTATGTCCCTTCTGAACAAGCTATGAGAGGCCAAAAAAGGCATGAGTAAAAAAAATTCTAAACCATTGAAATAGATTGCAGGTTAACTTGTGGAGTTTTTATGACTGGGATGGATTAGATACAACTGATCCTGACTTAGGTCAAGAAAAGGGATTCATTGACCTCCTAAGGGCATTCCAGCACTGAAATTCAATCATCTGTACATTCTTAGGTTTACTTGGTAAAAGTAAATAATTCTTGCAATAAGCATCCTTTTTATTGCAAAGAAAAGAGACTTCTATATACTTGTCTATATATAGACTATACTACTATACTATCCTATATATTACAGAATTCTTCAGCTGCACTATTACAATTAGATATTATTCAGACATTCTCTTCTGTCAACAAACTCATGAAATGAAGTATTTCCAAAACCATCTATTTTTGACTTTTGCAACACAGTTGAATCACTAGGAATTTTGCTATGCCCTTGCAGATAAAATGCCAGTTCTGAAAAAAGCTGTATTCATTGGTTGAAATTCACCTGGTAGAAAAAACTAATCCTAGTAAAATGTCCCAGGATGGTAAGCACATACGATGAAAAAGCCTAATAAGTTATCCCAATTGCTCTGATTATCTAATCTATTTGGATATAAATCCTAAATAGAATAGCAGTTTTCACTTTGAAAAGAAAGAGGGTTTAAAGTTCAAGGAAACTTCTGAAGTTTACTTTAAATGCAGACTTTTAACCTAACTATTTCTCATGTCTTTTGACTTTGTGTTCAAATGAACATTTCTCCATACATGGTAGTTTTAAAAGTCAATACAATCTAATTATTGAGAGCTAGTGGCTGTTTGACCTAGTCCAAAAGGATAACAAAGACATACAAAACTTTATAATCTTGAGCTACATTAACTGATTTTGAAAAAAATAAAAGAAGAAGGAAACACAGATTAATCTGATTTAAGATCCTAGGGTCTTTTAGAAATGCTTTGTATATTGTGGATCCTTCCACACATACCTGTAAGTTGAAATTTGATTTACTGTGATTGCTGAAGAACTGTTGTGTAGTCTCCTCCGAAGATATTTAAAACCCACCTGGACCCTATCCTGTGCAACCTGCTTCAGGTGAACCTGCTTTAGCAGGGGGGTTGGAATGGATGATCTCCAGGTGTCCCTTCCAACCCTTACCATTCAGTGATTCTGCCATTCTCTGAGCTTGAAGTCTTGCTAAGAGGTGGCTGGAAAGAGATTTGGTGTGAGGAAGGTAATATTACCTGCCAGTTTCTAACACTGTGGTTATAACTGATGTGTGTTTAAGGAAGTGAAAAGATATCACTAAGCTGAATATGGTAAATTTGTCTGAGATCCAGAAGACACTATAATACATGGTGAAACAAAGAATGGACTAAAAGTATCATCACATAATCTATAACTCACCAGTGCTGTTTGTATTTGATACATGATGTATTTGTTGTGGTTTATCTGCCCCTTGTCCGGTAATCTGTCTCTGCCTGTCCCATTCTCCCCAATCCAAACCTTTAGCCAGCTTTCAGAGAGCTGCCATATTTCAAAAACAAACACCCTGTCACAAAAATGCTGCTTTCCTCATGTATGTGTCTTAGAAAGCAGTTTTTCTGCTACTGTCAGCAAAAAGTAAAAAGCACGTTTTTCACAGGGACACATGTTGAAAGCAGTACATGCATTCTGAATCACTCTCTAGGCTATAGTACTGTAGTTTCTCGTTGCACCTGAAGAAGTCTAGGATTTGACACAGGAACAGGCAAATGTATGACAATGTAATTTTCATTTGGCTGTCCAGTCTGTTGCTTAACATGGAGTCTTGCTAGCAGACGCTGCTTAGGTAGGCTTTACAGCATTACAGATTTTCAAAAGAGAGAAAGCAAAAGAGACAAAACCTGAGAAATGTCTTCTTGTAATGTAAGCAGTAAATTGAGATAAGTCTTCAGGAGTGAGAGATGGCTGAACTGAGTCCTGTTGCTACAATCAGACTATCATCCACAGTAATATTCTAGATAGTAACTGAAAGCCAGTGGAAAGGCTCTGCATTATATCAGTGGTGGGCATTTATTTAATGAGTATGTTGAAGAAACATTTACTTTTTGTAAAATCAGACTTAGGAATTACATGTTACTGTAAGAAATTTTATTTATTGCTTAACTGTGGACTTCAGAATTCAAACCTGTAACCCTCACTGTATGACTTTGCACATTGATATTGAAATATTTTACTGGTAGTATAGATAGCTTCAGCTATAAAAAAAATGTTTATGGGGTGCATTAAGAAGAGTGTGGGCAGTTAGTCGGAAGAGGTTATCCTCCCCCTTTACTCTGCTGTATCTTGCGAGGCCACATCTGGAATAGTGTGTCAAATTCTGGACTGCCCAGTTCAAGAAGGACAAGGAACTACTGGAGAGAGTCCAGCATAGAGCCACTAAATGATGAGGGGACTGGAGCATCTCCCGTATGAGGTAAGACTGAGAGAACTGGGTCTGTTTAGTGTGGAGAACAGGAGAGTGAGTTGGGAATCTCATTAGTGCTTATAAATATCTAAAGGGTGGATGTGAGGAGAATGGGACCAAAATCTTCTTTGTGGTACCCAGTGACAGAACAAGGGGCAATGGTCACAAACTGGAACAGGTGGAAAACCTCTTTTACTGTAAGGGTGACAGAGCACTGGAACAGGCTGCCCAGAGAGGTTGTGGAGTCTCCTTCTCTGGAGACATTCAAAACTTTCCTGTTCCTATGTGATCTTTAGGTGATCCTGCCCTAGCAGGAAAGTTGGACTAGATGATATTCAGAGGTCCCTTCCAATCCCTGTGATTCTGTGATAACCACTGTTGGATTAACAATATTAGTTGTATGAACAAATTACACTAAATTAACATGACAGAGCAAAAAAAAAAAACAAAAAACCTCAGCCTTTTAAAGTAAAATGTTTGCTCTACCACTAATAATATCAATTGAATAAGTATTTTTTGTATTAAAAAAATATTTATATGAAACACAGCTGTTAAGGCATTGAATGGAATGCTAGAATGAAATTGGTAAACTTTATTTATTGAATTTCAATGTAGTACAAACTGCTGCAAGTACCAGTAATATTCATCCATCAAAGTATAATCTAACTCTTCTAACAGAGTGAAATTCATGCTTGTACAGATGGCTCCTACATGGCCTATAGCTCATTTAAATCCCTCTTAATCCCTCTTTTGAGAATTCAAGTTGGATTTATTCAGCGCATAGTCCTTGTGACCCTTTGCTTATAGTGAAATTCATTCTGTGCTGCTATTGTATTTATATTACCACTTTAATCTGCAGTATGTTTACCAAATTAACCATATAGCCTGGCATAAATCAATCTCAGACTCTCTTTCAAAGTTGTGAATACCATTACTTTTACCTTGCTCTTCTTCCTCTTGCGGTGGAATCGCAGAAGTTCTTTATGCTGCCTTGACACAAAGTTTACAGCTGCATACTCCAAAAGTGCAGAAAATACAAAGAGCAGACACACAGCCATCCAGATGTCAATTGCTTTGACATATGACACCTATGGAGAGAATAGAGCAGAAGATGGAATATGTTAAAACCACAGGTGTGAAGTTCAGTATATCATGTCAGGAGGAAGTGCATTAATATCTCCACATCCCAACACTAAATTTATCAAACAAAGCTTAACGTGAATGTAAAATAATAAGAGGGACAACAATTCAATCTATAAGTGTTAAATATTATTTTAAAATATATAGTCTTCCATAAAATGTGTTTACTGTTTATGTCATTAACAGTTCCTCATAGTGTACTGTGTGTTTTATCACAAACCAAATAATCCGAAAGAACAACATGCTCTTCCTCCACTTGTCCCACTGAGATTTGTGAATGATACTAAGGAAGCAGAGACTAGCTTATAGTGGGACTGGTGGGAATTCTTGTAGTTTAATGGATCTGATTTAAAGTTCCTGTAATGGAAACTAGGTAGAAGGGAGAGCGATGGAGAACTCTGATATGTTCATTCTCTGCTAATATAGGCATGGTAAATCAAAGATACAGATTCAAATTAGTCCTGTAATTTTGACACAGTGGAAGTACTGAAAATTAATCGCAGAGTAGATAAACTCAATGCAACCCTTTGTTGACAAGCTCAGCTGCAGGACATAATCTGAATTAGGAAAGTAGGCCCTGTTCCATCCCTGTGTGTAGATGATTTTTCATATAAGCCAACATAGTTAGCTTCAGGTCTCAAAAATGTGACCAAAAAATCTATAGCTCTGTTTGGTAACCTCTTACATGCTTGCTTTTCTGAGTTTTTTTAGCATTCCATTTTCTTATCTGTTTATGCTACATTTGGATGCATTCAGATCCATATATCTGAGGCACAAAGCACACTCACCTGTGTTAGTGGTATCTATTTTACTTGGAAACAAAATTAATTAGCCGACCTGAAAACACCATATTAAAAATAATACAGAAGCTGACATTGTGTATTTTTATCTTATACACTTTTGTTTCTATTAACTGCAATAGCAAATGAAGACGGTCAAAGAATACCCCTTAAAATGAAAAAGAAAATTTTTAAAGCAATGACAAGTCAGGAAACTTAGATAGTTAATCATAGAAATACACTATTTACATTGTGTAGTGAACCATTCTTTATACAATTGTTTGGAGCCATTTCGTTTCATATGTTTCTACATTTTAATGTAAATGTGTTTGTAACTAGTGAGTTACTTCATAATTTAGGCAGGTTTTGGGAAAGTAATGTCATTGAGAACAGTTTGGAACCTATGACCTTTAGAAATTCAGTCGTATCTGCTAGCATGTCATCAGATACTGGGACCTGAAAGAGCATGAGTCAGTCAAGTGCTAAGCATCATTTATCATTTATGTAGTACTGAAAAACATTGCCTTCATCACTTGTTGAGTTTTATGGAATTTAGTAAATATGTGGTTGGCTAAATAGTTGAGACAAACAGGAATAGAATTAGTGACTCAACAAAATCCTAAAGATTCCAGAGTTATTTATCTCCTTTAGAAGATGCTTCAATGTTAATAATTAAAACACATAAGGTTGCTGAAGTGCTTATTTGTCACATAGCATTATGACTTTGTAGTAATGTGGTGTAAACAAAGAAAATTCTGCCTACCTTTGGAAGAGATGCTCGTGAACCTGAACTTTGTGTTGTCATGGTCAGTACAGTTGTTATGCCTAAAGCCACTCTGGCTGGAGCTGCATCCATATTGATCCAAAATGACACCCAGGAGAGAATGACGATCAAGAGACTTGGTATGTACATCTGGATGAGATAGTAACCCATCTGCCTCTCAAGGTGAAATCGGACTTCAATACATGTAAACTTTCCTTTTTATAATAAAGAAGAAATTTTCAATAGAAACAGAATGTTCTTTACTGTCAACATCTAGTGCACACTCTAAAGAACTTACACTCCATCAAATACATTTGTTCTCTAATGAAAGATTAATATTTTTTATTTCTCTTCAGTGATTTTAATATGCACGGTCCCAATAATAACAGAAGTAACTGGAAAAAAAGGGGACAGAAAACCTAAAAATTTAAGAATTTGATAACCTTTAGATCTCTTATTTCTTTATAAAAACCAAAACACAATTCATTATGACATAGGAAAGTTTCTCTGTGTGATCACTCTTGTTTTTCCGCTTATTGTTTGGAAATACTGCTGTATGCAAAGAAAATACTTGCTCTCCCATTGTATAAAATCTCCTTTATCTTTTGGTTCAATTTTAAAGTTAAATTTATTTTATTTTTTTCAATCCAATGAATTTGGACAGAATATAGTGAGATCAGTGTGGGCATTAAGTTTTTAATAGGAGATTCTGCTAAATCTCTCCCCTTATCTCCATTCAAACTGTTCCAGCTCAGAAATATAGTAACTGAGATTCAAACAGAAATTGAGGACTTGTGATTAGGCAACCTCAGGAAGCTAATTAAATGCCCTAATTTTTCCAGATACTGAATATCTAGCAACCAATTCCACAGATTTAACCCAACTAAAACAAACCCCAAATCTATTGTTTGCTCACAG